CTCCTGCTTGGCTGGGAAACGGTATGCCACGTTCGAATGCGTGAATCGGGGCGCCCTGTCCGCTCTTCGATCGATCGATCGAAAGGACGATCTGGATTTTGGCGACGTGCACTTGGAGAGAGCGGACGGCCACGGTAGAGAAGCTCTGGATTGGGATTACGATCCAAAGGATTTCGGGAACGTAGTGAAGGCGGCTACCGAACTGATGGAACGACGAAGCCTCAGATGGAATCTGGACAACGTGTATCCCGGCCTGGAATTGAGAGCCGGCCCGACGTTGAACGGGAACGGGATACTGGAGTTCGTCGTTAATGAAAAATCGACGGTTTTCGGGGACAGGCAAACTTTGGGCCCAGGTGAGCATTCTATATATCTTATCGATCCTTTCGAGTTTTCGTAAACCCAATATAGATATTTATTTTACGTCAGACGACACCAATTTGCTAATTTGCCAATAGGCGATACACGGGTTTTTTCGATCTTGAAACAGCACGGAAGCGAACCCATGCCGTTCTCCATGGTTCGTATCTGGGCTGAGTCGGCGTTCGCCATAAGCTGGTTTCAGGAAGCACCTCCAGCAGGCAGCACGGTCAAGGCCACCCGCTCCGCCGAGCCTCCATATACCTCGTTTCATAGCTCTAGAATTTATCAGAGCATCTAATACATGCATACATATATATATATATATATATATATATATATATAACTAGGTCTATATTTCATTAATAAACCTGTTCCTATTTCCAATGGAACAAGGTTAAATGAAACGTGTGTGAACACGGACTAAAGCTTGCCCCGCAACTTTCTCCTTTCCAGGAAGGCAAATGATGAGACACCTGTTGATACCATTCCTGCTAGGTTTTAAGTTCAACCTGGCCTCCCTGATCCCCCTCATGTTCGGCTTTTTGCTACTGCTCACGAAGAAGGCTCTGCTGTTGACGAAGGTGGCGCTGGTGATCACCGGCCTGCTCGGTTGGAATTCCTTCCTATCCACCACGTATCCCACGAGCGGGATTCATCACTCTTACGAGGCGCTTCCACCGCACCACTATTACAATTTCCACCACAGACCACCGTACAGGGGATTCCAGGGCAACGACTTCGAGCCACCGTACAGCCAACACGTGATCAGAGAGGTCGTCGACGTTTACGACAACGCGGATCAGGGCGTTGGCAAGAGCAAGCAGCGGAACGGCAAGAATTTCGTTTGGGTGAAGAGTAGTTGACTCGTTCTACTGCGGTTCATATCATGGTAGATTTTAATCGAAACGAGTGGAGAGAATCGCTCCAGGTAGATTAATTATTCGAGGTAGTTCGTAATTTCATTTCATTCGTCAACTATTGCTCCGATTTTATTATTTTAAATTTTGTACATTACTTGAAAAAGTAAATTTCGAGTGTATGTACAATGAAATCAAATTGAATAAATATCGACGATTTTATTCGCGGCGGGCAAATTTTTCCTTCTCTCCTTCCCTCGACTCATTCCGCTCTCTTTTCTTCGCCGTTTCTCACTCGTCGTAATTATCCTCATCAATTAACTCCTAAGAAAGTCAGTCAGCCCGATGTACAAACAATGAGAAAGGATTCCAGGTTGAATCGGTTGAATTCGTTACAATTGAACAACCGTGAAATTGGCAGAAAACCGGATAACCCGGATAAAGGCGTATATATTCTCTCCCCGTAACGCCGATCTAACCATTATCCATCCCGAATTTGATCCTATGATAATATACAACAATTCGCAGCTTCACTGTCGTTTTCGCTGTCGTCCTCATCCAAAAAAAAGAAAGAAAAAAAGAAAGAAACAAAGGGAACATCCTGACACGGAGTTTTCACTCCATGACAGATCCATTAGAGCCGCGCGCCATTATCGTAACTGTACTGTATCCATCCACGATTATCTCGAAGGAAGGAGCACCGACGTCCGGGAAACACGGTTTGCTCGCAACAGTGTTCACGATCCCGTGAACGTGCTGCTCCTCCACGTGGCCAAGGAGCTTTAAGTCTCTCCTTATGTCAAGTGTGACGACGCGGCATACATTATCGAGGATGACAGTCGACCGTAAAAGTTGCTCGTTTTCCGCCACCGTTTCACGGCCGCATGAACCGTCTCTCTCCTGTCTATTCTCTTCTTAAGCCTGTTCTTAACCATTTCTGCACTCGGCTGCCCTGCTTGAACGTGCGTGACGTCCGATTCGTTACCCATGTAACGGTCCGCTTTATTTTTACGTCGTTATAGAATTCGTACGACGCTCCATGTTGCTCGAAATTATCATGATGATGAAATATTTCACGAAGTTGCTCAATCGGAAATGATCCGTTTTCTTTTTATTCTTTCTCTCTCTCTCTTTCTTGGTAATTGGAGATCTGCTTTCTTTATCGTAATTCGATGGCTAATAGAGTTATTTTTCTTTTGAATAAAATTATTCAATCTAGATTTTTTCTCCTCTTCTTATTTGAAACTTCGAAGTTTCAAGGTTCGTGCGTTATCATTTTCAAACGGAATGGAATTTATTTATCCAACGAATCGTTCGAATGGGAGATAAGTCTCTCACGAAATTCTTCAAATAATTCCAACAATTCTCCATTTTTCATCGCACGCTACGCAACATCCTTTTCGATTCGAGGGTAATTCTCCGCGTCCCCCTTAATCTTTAAACTCGTGTTTACGGGAAATTCCATCATCGTGAAATTCGTCTCCCTCGAAAGAAGAAACGCTTCGCGAAATTATTTATTTAATCGAAATCCTTCCACTTCCCTTCACTTCACTTGATTCAAAGTCCGAAGTAGGGTAATGATCGGCAATCATCCGAAAGAAGAAACACGAAATCCGCGGGTAATAACGAGTCGCAAACTTGCAACCAGATTTTTTTTTCGGAAGATGTCAGAGAAAATTTCTTCTTTTTTTTTTTTCGTTATAATATTGTTAAATCTTTCTTCTTCTCTCTCTCTCTCTCTCTATCTCTCAAGTAGGGTAATTGCGTTCGCTACTGCCTGCCATCAAAGAAGAAGCGGCCATCGCGAAAAGCGTAGGAAATGATAAATAAGAGGAGAAGAGTGCCCTGAATTTTTCATACACCTCGTGTATGTATGCGTACACCACTGCGTGGACATTTTTAAATATTAAATTTCGTGCGCGCGTAATTGGCCACGGGTCGTTTGACGTATGTGGCGCGTCACGGTCTGTAATCCGTGTCGGATTAACAGTATCCCGTCGAGGCGTGTTAATTAATTCCGCGGTGACTAATTCCCCGACTCGCGTAATTAAGGATCATTCGGATCACTGGGGATCTGCGCGCATCATTTAACGAAAATGTAAATACGCAAACTTTCGCCGGTATAAATGAAAAGCAGACTTGATCGAAACTTGATTCTCTCTCTCTCTCTTTCATCCCTTTCCATTCTTATTTTCGATTCAAATTTATTGGATCGAAAAATCTTCTTTCTTCTTTCCTCGATAAATTTTTTATCTTCGTTGTCGAAGTGCTGCTACGTCAAATTGTTAAATTTATGAAATATCTTTCACGAAATTCACGAACGCTTGAACTCTTCTCTCGTGATCCATTCATTCCATTTTATCGTAGCATACAAGAGTGATCTTTATCTGTGCAAGGATCTCATTTTCGAATTCGAAACGATTGTGTACACGTACAATACGCAAGAAAAGAAAAACTGCTACAGCCTGGATTCGCAATTCTTGTTAAAACCGGCCTTTAAACTCCATTCGCGTCCTGTTCATTGCGCGGGGGTTCAAGCTTCGCTTGGCAACCGGGTCAGAGGGATACTTACTTACGGGGCTGTACGACATTGTTTTGAATCAGGAATCGTCCCTCCTTCCAAAGGAGGAGGCGTTAAACAGCGCGTGGATCAGGTGTGAGCCGGTATCGTAAGGACGACGAGGTAGGAGGAGCACAGGAAATACTCTTATAAAAGAGCGGCCATCGAGCAATTTCAATTAGTCCGCGATATTTTTCCAAACTGTGTACAACCTCGCCGCTCTAAATATTCTAATACACTCGATATATATATATATATATATATATATATCGTATCTCGTTTAAACGGGTTACAAAAACCGTGCGTTCGAAACGAAATTATGAGAGGAAAGAATAGAATTTGTCAGGAATTCGCGTTGCTAGTCGCTTGCCTACTTGTTGCGCTGTTCGATCGAGCGCAGAGCAGGAACGAGTACACGAGATTATTCGACAAATGCGCGGCGGAGAAGAACGCGTTCGATTGCTTGAAAAGGAGAGCGTTGGAGATCCTGGATTCGGCGATCAAGGACGACACGGTGTACGTGTTGAACGAGTACGTGTCGATCGGCAGGGATCCCTCGGCCATTGCAAAGAGCGTCGACAGATCGTTCAAGGAAAATGGGACCGAGCTTAGCCTGGATCAGATGTTGGATAACAAGTTTCACGAATATATTTCTTCCAGGAACGTGAAACTGACTATTCCTGGGGACGCGTTTCAAGGTAAGGATAATTATCGATTTGGTGTAATTTATTTTTAAATGAATTAAATAAAATTAAAAATACCTCGTTTTCGCGTCGCTTCAGGTCGAAAGAAAAAGGACAAGGGATACGGTGCGCTGATAATGGGTGCGATGGCAGTGGGAGGTAGGATACGAATTAATCTTGAAGAATGAAATCTTGTGATCGATGGTCTTCTTTTTTGCTTTTCCAAGTATCGAGTACTTTGTTTTTTTTCAGCCATGATGGCGCAACTGGCCTACGGTAAAATCGCCTTTATCGCTGGAACTGCCTTGCTCACGGCCAAAATAGCCTTGGTTTTGAGCGCAATAATCGGGTTGAAGAAGCTGGTGTCCAGCCAGGGCGGGGGTGGGCACGAGGTTATTTACGCTACAGGCTCGGAACACCATGGAAGTTATGGCGGGGGATACGGAGGTGGCTGGCAAAGAGCTATGGAGGGCGTTCCTACAACTTGAATAAAATGAATAAATTTAATTTATTTCCTGTACGATATTTTTGTTAAGTAAAGTAAAAAAAAAAGGATAGAGATACTTTCTGTTTGTATATATAAATAAAGTTAGACGTTGATGATGATAGCCTGATTTGAGCGATGTTATAATCGAGCAAGTTAAAATAGATTGCATAGTTTTTTCTATTGAGAATTTATGTATATTTTGTAGTTAGAATAGTTGAAGAATTACCAAAAATTATTATACAGTATTGTATCGTATTGTATTTATTTATTTATTTTTCAAATATGCAAATATATTGCAATACGTGTTCGTGTCATTTGTGTAAAAATGACATCAATAAAAAATTTCAGAGAAATACAATTATTATTATTATTATTATATAGATATCAGATTATTTTTTAGTCCTGGAAATTTGAAGATTTGTAAATAATTTCTCAAATAATTTCAAGAAAATGAATTTCAAGAAATGAGTTTTCAGGTTCTAAATTAGTACCATACTTTTTGGAGATTTCCAAAATCCTCTTTGTATAACGAGAATTAATAATCTGATTTATTACACTTAATTTACACTTTTATTGTTCAAAATAATTATATATTATTCTCCGATATTATAAAATTGATATTAAACATTTATTTGTACTCTCTTCGTGGCTCAACGGACTAATTTTCTATTTTTAACTTTTTGCCTCTGATATCCAAAATTACGTTCCCACGATCCACCATGATCATAATCGAAACTTGTACTGTGCGTATTCTCATAGCTGTGATACGGATATTTAATTATCTCGTACGAAATTTTCTCCTTGTGCTCTGAAAGTAAAGATAAAAATTTATTAATAACATCGTAATCGTAATTATATAGAAATAAAAAAATAACAATACCAAGAATTCTCTTCAATGCGATCGCGGTCGCAATTGCTAGGGCAACTTTGGCGACTATCAGAGCCTTTCCAGCAATTGCAGCAACCACGTTCGTTATTACGTAAAGCATAGTCATTTTCGACGCGCCTAGAAGATAAAGCAACATCTGTCCATATCCCTTGTTCTTCTTTCTTCGTCCAGCGACTGAAAAAAAGAAAAAAGATCAAATTTACATCACCATAATAACATATAACGAACGAAATGTATAATACTTAATGTAATACGTTCATTTTTCGCACGCAAAAAGCAAAGAAAAAGTAATTTAACTCGTGTCACGCTGTGCGCAAGATCGTACGCGATGATAGTTATGAAAGGAAACAAAAATGGCGATGCTAATTGATTAATTAGCAACAGGTAACACGGAATAACTGCAAAGAATCGTTTTCGCGGAACGGTATTTTGTATATATATATATAT